GCCCATATAAATGCCGAAAATCGTGCATAGCAAAAATTATAATAGAAAATTATAATAAATATAGTACCAAGGTTATACTGGGAAATAAGCAGACGATATGAACATGTAACAGAAAGGAGAACAAATAAGATACAAAAAGGATATGGTATAACGCTTTTATTCAAATATATGATCGGGAACTCTAAAGCGACGAAGATATGGGGGGGGGCGGGGTTAGCGGCTAGTCACCTCCCTTCGTTCCCCAGGGCTCCAGCGTCAGGAAACAGTTCAAAATCTCCACGTCGACGTTGCATCCAAGTGGTCGACCTTCTTTCACTGGAACCTCGGGGTCCAGTGGGGCGTTCCTCTCCGACGACCGTAGTGCAGGGAGACAGGTACTCCGGTCCTCTCACTCAGTATCTCTGTTGGACTCGAAATTGCCGTCGTCGAGTTCGAGAAATATGTAACTGGAAGCAGGTCCTTGGGCGTTCCTCTTCGACTACCTTGACTTCACCACACGCCCATTGGCTGTGTGACACGTCTAATTTTCTTTGGTAAGAAAGGTGTAAATTTGGACTCAACTATGTAACTGGAAGCAGGTCCTTGGGCGTTCCTCTCCGACTACCTTGACTTCACCACACGTCCATTGGCTGTGTCAGGAAGCAGTAAGGACGAGGGAGTCATCGTCGTCGTCGATTTGGAAGCCTGAGACTCAGCGGCTGAGAGACCACGGGCCTCGACCTCCTTCCTCGGACAAGGTGTGGTCTCGAAGAGGTAAAAGAAGGGCAGCGGGGCGTCTCTCCTCCTTCCTCCCTCGTAGCAGAAGGAACGCACGGCGGGAGAATACTTGAAGGTTCGAGAACGTTTGGTGATCAGCTGACGGGACATGATGCGTCTGGTCGAATGAGTGAGGAACAAAGCTGGTGCCACAATTATTATACTCATTCAGTGTCAGGTCAATCCACGCCACGCAATTTATATTTAATTAGGCCATTCACATCATGAAATTATTGCCGAATGAGGTCAATCCACATGACCCCTATTGACCAATTACATGGCAGCTTGCACTTTCTATTCCTCACTTTACATACCCAGTATTCAACTTTCTGTATGATAATAATGATAATGATGATAGTAATGTTGATAACGATGATAATTACGATAGATAATATTGAAGATAATGATAATAATGACGATGAAAAAATGAAGATAATAATAATGACGATGAAAAAATGAAGATAATAATAATGACGATGAAAAAATGAAGATAATAATAATGACGATAATGATAATAATGACGACAGATAGTGACGATAATGATGATAATGACGGTAATGATAATAGTGACGATAATGATAGTAGTGACAATAATGACGGTAATGATAGTAGTGACAATAATGACGGTAATGATAGTAGTGACAATAATGACGGTAATGATAGTAGTGACAATAATGATAATAATAAAATGACAGCACTGATAACAGTAACGATGATAGTAATAATAAAAGCAAGTAAAACGACATTAATAATAACAAGCAATATAAACTTTTAATAGAATGAGCAATACTCTCTTCTAAATGTACTGTAGTGCCACCAGAACTCATATTCAGATTTCACTACGACTTTTTTTTTAGAACACAGTACTCTTGCAAGGGGAGTGGCTACGACGAATACGGGAAATAAATGAAAATCTAATGAAAGGAAGAAATGGATGCAGACAGAGGAACTGGAACATAATGGAGAAAGAAAGGAGCGAATATAAATAAGGTAAATAAAAAGGTGGAGAAGGGTAAAGGAACAGAATAGATGAAATAGTAAACTAAGGAATCAGAAGATAAAGAGATGTCATGGGAAAGAGGAGGGAGAGGGGACACGTAGTGATGAAAAGATGGAAAGGAAGAACAAGTGTGAATGAAAAGGGGAGAATAAATAAACGGAAGAAAGTGAAATGTTAATAAGCCTACACCAATAAATAAAAATAAGGAAAAATAAAGAAACAAATAGGAGAAATAAATGATGGAACAGAAAAGAGACAAACGGGCAAATAAAGAAGCAAAATGAATAGTAGATAAATCAGGGAACAAAGAAGAGGCACATGAGTAAACGAGAGAGAGAGAGACAGAGGCAGACAGAGACAGACAGACAGACAGACAGAGACAGACAGACAGACAGACAGACAGACAGAGAAAGACAGTGAAACAGAGACAGACAAAGAGTGAATGAGAGACAGATAGAGATTGAAAGACAGACAGGCGGAGACAAAGAAAGAGACACAGAGAGGGAGAGAGAACCCCAAAAGGCGCCTTACGGTCTGCGAATCAAATAACTTGTCCAGACCCGCCTCGGCCGCCTCGGGGTATGGTGGCGCCATCTGGAAGGAAACGGAAATAAAACAGTTTTTATGTAATTTCGATATTTGTGTGTCTACGAATGCATATGGGCGTTTATGCTGTACGCAAATATTTACTCGCACAGGCAGACGGACACACACACACATACACATACATTATACATACATATATATATATATATATATATATATATATATATATATATATATATATATGTGTGTGTGTGTGTGTGTGTGTGTGTGTGTGTGTGTGTGTGTGTGTGTGTGTGTGTGTGTGTGTGTGTGTGTGTGTGTGTGTGTGTGTGTGTGTGTGTGTGTGTGTGTGTGCGTATTTATTTGAGTGTACTCGCCTTTTTTCATGTGTGTGTGCATGTATATACTTCTTGGTGTATACAATATTAGCATTAATGTCTTATACTTGTAATATCGGGGAAAATACGCTCTAAAAAAATCCTGAAAGCCATTAGCAGAATCTCACCTTCACTAACTTGATGAGTTTAACTTCCAAAAGCTTGCTCGTCAGAAATCTTTTTTTGCCACACTGCTTTCCTGGAGAGAAAAAGAAAATGAGAAAATAACAGAATGTATAATAAGATTGATGAATCTGATGGTCAGAATAAAAGATAACCATTATTACAAATAGAAAATAACTGAATGTATAATAAAACTGAAGAAACTGATGGTAAGGATAATAAATAAACATTACTACAAATAGAAAATAACTGAATGTATAATAATAAAACTGAAGAAACTGATGGTAAGGATAACAAATAATCATCACATTTTTCAACAGTAATACTTCACCTCCTTCCACCCCCCCCCACAAAAAAAAATAAGAATAAATAATGATAATAATAGAAAATAAGGAACTAACCCGAACGTTTCCAGGGGACGACATGCGGAAGGACTCGCATGACCTTCAGCTTGACCTCCTTCCGACGATCCTGTGGGCAGTTGACGAGCCACATCCTGGCTAGCATGAGTCCCCTCCACTGGCAGTCTTCGTCGGGCGTCGCTCGTGCTAAGTACACTGTCATGATGAATCTATAAGGGAGAGGGTGAGGCGTAGGTGTGACAGGAAGAAATATTGTAGTAGGTGTGATAGGAAATATATTAGTTTTTTTTTTTTTTTTTTGGGGGAGGAGGAGGGTTCTAAGATCGATTTTTAATGACGATTTTAGTTTTACTTTATCTGGAAATTTTTGTGATAATTGTAGGTGTGTGACTGTTGATGTTTTGTCGCATCGGGAAATAAAAGTGGATTTTTTTAGCTCATTGAAAGTAAGAGAAACCATTTTTATTACAGAAATCATTATGTGTAAAAACTGAACGTAACGAAGAGAAAAGAAAAATAATTAATCTATCACATAAATTTACTGTTTTAACCTACGCACGGAATTCTTCAAACACATTAATCCAAAACAAATCTATATTGCCTCATATTCATCAGACTAGAATCATCACCAATATAAAAAAATAACAAAGGTACAAACTCTGCAATTATGCAAAAGGCACCGAGTTGGCTTCGTCGGACTTCCTTCCTCTCCCACAGAACGCTGCTTCCCCTCAGCACAGACATCAGCACTGCAGTATTACTATGTCCTGAGAACAGTGTACAAGATCTCAGCTGACTCTCCAGCATAAAATTTCTTGGTAAACTTTGCAGCATGGCTAATGGAGAGGTCGATAGGCCTATAAGCGATTCATTATTTGAAATCGTCATTTTAGTGAACAAATTTGACATTCTGTATGTGTGTGAGGGTGTGTGTGTGTGTGTGTGTGTGTGTGGGTGTGTATTTACTTATATATATATATATATATATATATATATATATATATATATATATATATATATATATATATATATATATATATATATATATATATATACATATACATACATATATGTATCATATATGTATATATTTATATACATACATAATGCACACATGTAGATATGTATATACATATATATATATATATGTATGTATATGTATATCTATGTGTATATATACATATATAATGCGCAAATGTGCGTGTGTGACTTTGAGAGTCAAATGTTATATTTCATATTTTTCTACCTACGCTGAAGAGGCCTACTAACCCAGCAATTCATCTAGCAGAGCCGCGTCTTCAGAAACGTTGGCTTCCACCCCAGCAAGGAACTCGGACCTCCTGGGCATGACGAAACATAAACAAAGATACGGTCCATTAGTCGAAGCATACGCAGTAATCAAAGCATGGACAAAAAAGTTAATGATTGTAAGAACAAAAATACTTATTGTGAGAAAAAGGAGGGAAGAGAAAGGAAGGGAGAGGAAGAGAAATAAAAAGGCAAAAAAATGTGGATACTTATGTATGTATTATTTTGCTACACAAAAATAAACCTTCCCTCTCCTTTCCTCCACACTATCTTTTCCTTCTTTCTTTCTTTTGCTCCCAGCCTTCCTCCTTTCCAATCTTCTTCACTTCTCCCTCTTCCCAGCAAGCAACCCCCTCCTCTAAACTGCCCCCCAGCCTGTCCTATGCAACAGTTCCATCTTCTAAAATACGTAATTCTTGCTGCACTGCCTCCCTATGCCCGTTCAGTCTCTCTCCGCCTGCATTGTTTACGTCTGGAAAACTCCCCAATTTTTCTTTTACTTTTTGCATTTAATGGATCAATGGATTA